TGCTTTGCTATCATTTTCGTTCTCCTTGCAAGTCTGACTTTAGGAGCTGTTGTGAGAGCTCTAAGAGCATCTCTTGCTCCTGCTTTGGAGCCTTGGGTATGTTCTCTAACTTGATCATGAGTTTTAATAGGTTAAAGCTTGAGTCTTGGCATGTAATATGTTAAAATAAAGTAACCAACACGTATATGAACCTGTATATGCCTAAAAATGGATTCTTGGACGTATAATAATGGTAAAATTTGGACCCTTGGGTGATATCTTCGTGAAAATGCAAAACTGCATTCTGTCGCGAAATATCTAGATATGATATCCGGATATTATGGGTTTTCGAGAACAGTAACGGTACTGTTTATACAGAACTGAGTTATGGGTTTGTGGACCCTAGATTGTGGAAGTTGAACTTCTGTAATGATTAAGTTAAGTCATAATCAAGGGATTAAGGGCTTGTGGCTTTGTGAGAAGCCTTAAGACTTGGAACGCAAAGGAAAGGCGTTGTCTTTATATCGTATGCTTGTAGAGTATAAATATTGATGTTGTTATTGGTCCTAACAGATTGTGATTGTGCTGTGTGAGGACCTTGAGCTTGTGTGGACTCTTGGCTTGGATAACTAGCTTGCAAGGTAAGCTTTCGTGTCCTTGGTTTAGCCAATGTTTGTTCCACCATGTCCCATGGGGGGATGGTTATATGCATAATGTGTTTTCATGTATTGATTTGCTGAAATGCTATTGAACTGTTAAGTGCAAATGCTATATGATATGTATGTGGTGTTCCGCCTAGACAGGAAGCCATGAGGTGGTCTTGTGGGTGGGTACAGCATGGGCGTGTACTGTGTGGGTAATAGACGTATTCCTGCACTTCTCTGATCAGTAGAATAGTTATAACACAAATGACATGAATATCTGCTGCATTGCACTGATTTAGAACTTATATTGCACATGTAAGTGAGCTTGAGGTGGAAGATCCTTGAGGACCCCTTGTCTTACTGAGATTTCTATTTAGAGATCTCACCCTACGTTTGGGGCACTATTTCAGGTTCAGGTAATGCGGGGGTTGATACCTCTAGCGGCTGGAGGCCGGAGCTTAGCTGATTGCATGCTATTATGATGATTTTGCTGGATGCTGACATTGCTTTATATTTGCTGTCACGCTATTTGATTTGAGACTGCTGTTGGGCGTTGTTGCCTTATTTGGTGAGCATGGGGATTGTCCATGCCACATTGACTTGCCTTTATGTTTTAGTTGTTTCAAGTTGTAATTAATAATGTATCAGGATATTGTACGGATTACGTGTTGTAGTTCCGTGACTTAGATACTCACATCTATGTTATGAGGTATTTTAGTTAGTTTTGGATTGCAATCACATACAGGCGATATTTTGTGATTGAACTATAATAATCAACTTGACTAAGTATAATGACGTCATAATTGAAAGTAAAAAGTCATTCCACATTTTTATATTAAGCGTGTCTTAATACGATGACATGTTAACAAACCGGGTTAACACGGGGTGTTACATCATACAATATGGTGACTCTGTGGGTGCGTGCAAGTGGCGTCTTGCACTGATTGTAGGAAATAGACGTATATCTTGCATTTCTCTGGCCATTAGAATATCTCGACACACATGACATGGTTATCTGTTGCATTACACTGACTTTGGAACTTATATCATATATCTGCTTTTGAACTTATATTGCACATGTAAGTGAGCTTGGGGTGGAAGATCCTTGAGGACCCCTTGTCTTACTGAGATTTCTGTTTAGAGATCTCACCCCACGTTTGGGGCACATATTTCAGATTCAGGTAATGCAGGGGTTGAGACCTCTAGCGGCAGGAGGCCGGAGCTTAGCTGATTTATATGCAGTATGCTGATTATGTTGGATGCTGGATTATGTCTGTTGCTATTTTGCTGTTAGCTTTATGATTATGATACTGTTGTTGAGACTATGTTGGGCTTGTTGCCTTATTTGGTGAGCATGAGGATTGTCCATGCCACATTGATTGACTATGTCTTAGTTTAGATTCGAGTTGTAATAATGTATCAAGATGTTGTCCGGACTACGGGTTGTAGTTCTGTGACTTAGATACTCACTTAATTATATATGATATTATTCAGTGTAGATAGCTGTCCGTTTTGCAATTACATACATGCAATGTTTTGGAAATGAATTAAGTAATTCAACTTGGTAATGATAATGACGTCATAATTGAAAAGAAAAAAATATTCCGCATTTTTAAATTAAGCGTGGCTTAATGCGATGACATGTTAACAAACCGGGTATACACGGGGTGTTACACTGATCATCTATATGATTATGATAATCTAACCAATTAAATTCAACCCAATGAATCATATATAAGTTAATTAATATATGTTAAACAGGATACCAAATAAATAAATAAAATATAAATGATAATCAACGGACAAAATCCAACTATGAATGATAATATTTTGTTTAACATGCATACCCATGACCTCAAAAGGGGAGCATATTCTCGGTGCTCAGGGACTGAGAATAAGTACTCATTCTCCTAAACAGAAAAAAAAAAATGAGGATATGAAAGTAAGAAATCATAAAAATAAAAATAAGGGTAATATAAATATATTATTTTTATCATATTTAGTAAAAGATGTATCGAGTGCTCAATATATCTTTAATGGGAAAGGATTTGTTTACTAATTTTTTTTTACAAATTTTTGCAAATTACTATGTACTCCTGAGAGAACGTAGTGTAACCTAGTGTTTTCCCGGGAATACGTAATGCAGTTTGTAAATAAAAAATTTGTAAATATATCCCTCCCATCTTTAATATCAAAAATATTTCCTCAAAAGGATGCCGAGTGGCTTAATTTTTTTCTATATTTTTTCAGTACTTCTATAACACACACACACATATATATATATATATATATATATATATATATATATATATATATATATATATTAGTTAAAAATAAAGATAAGTGACACTGATATGATATTATAACAATGAACCGATCAATTAAATCAATTTTTTTTTTAATTTTAGTGGATGATGAACTAAATATTCGGTATTAAAGGATACTTCTCGTTTTAATTGTTTTTTCTTAATGTGAGATTGACTGAAAAAGGATTGTTACCGAACCATTTTTTTTTAATTTTATAATAAATTAGTCAAATGTATTAAATCTTGAATTTATTTGTTAGCATATTTATTTTTTTCCAATCTTATAATTAATTTTAACTTGGCGAATGAATTTTTTTGTCTCTTTTTAATATGATATTAGTCATTTATTGGTAGATTAATTATCAAAATTTGGACGACAAAAGTTGTAAAATAAATAAAAGAAAATAATTATTAAAATTTTTATCGTTAATCTGTTAATAAATAATAAAAAATTTCAATATGAAATTATCATATTTAAAAAAAACTTAAGAGAATACATTCTCATTTCGTGTAAATTTATTCATCAATAATTTTCAGACAAGTAGTAAAGTTATAAATTATTGATTAATTTAAAGTGTAAATTATAATTTTTAATTTGAAACTAGAATTTCTTTTTAGATTTATAAATTTCATAATATTTTAAAAATAATAATAATAAAAACAAATAATTTTTACCTGGCGAATGGATGATTTTTTATATCTCTTTCTAATATGATGATCAAATATCAGTTATTGACAGATTAACAGATTAACGAAAATTTTAATAAATAATATAATAATAATAAAAGGAACAAGGCATCAAAGTCTGGCAAAAGCGAGTTTATTCCAGTGTTTTAAAACCCATTTCATCTCTCGGGCTGATCCGGATCAATTCTGACCTCTCTCCTCTGAGGATTGGAGTCATATGTTGGATCCTATATGCGCATCGATCCCTCCAACCCCAAAAATTCAGTCGGATTTCAGTGTCTCCCGGGTCAGAGGGGTCAAAGGGAATCACTACATGTGTCTTTTTTAAAAGAAAATTTCATGAAACAACGTCTTTTTATTAAAAAAAATAAAATAAAAATACTTGCAAATCTAGATCTAATCGTTCTCTTCTCTCAAGTGACCTAGACTTGTGGTATCTTGATAATTTGGTATCATTAGAATATGAGTTTTGTACTTTGGTATCTTGATACTTTAATTAGGTGGTGTAATATTGACTTATGGTTGTAATTGGTGAATTATGTTAAGTATATTTTGAATCTTTGATGATTAATGGTGATTTGTTTTTTAATTAATATATATATATATATATATATATATATATATATATATATATATATAATATATAAAATCGGGTCTGCGTAGTGACTCCGTGATCCCTCGGTTGAACCCGTGACTCTGTGACCCTGACCTCAGCTGGGTCGATGACTGGACCGGATTTTTAAACACTGATTTATTCTTTATATATATATATATATATATATATATATATATATATATATATATATATATATATTTGGATAAGATGTTCCCTGTGTAGATACTCAACCAGAGTCAAGTTCAAAGAATTATACAGCATTGTTATGGATATGAATATCATATCCCAACTACCCAAGGATCCCTTAAAGGATAACTACCCAATTATCCTAACAATATAAAACAGTAAGGCTGCTAAGGATAGAGTCCCTATCCCAACAGAAAGGAAGTTAAATCCTACTACAACTGGGAGATCTACACAAGCCCAAGAGGTAACCCTTATAAATAAGAGGTTAAAGACCCCAGGTATACACTTTGAACCTATTTACTAATACTGCCCACACTGTGCACACACCCACCCCTTGGCTACAAGCCTATTACTTGTGCGCAGTGATTGGGACCTCGGCAATAAGCCTAGTATACACTCAGTATACACTATCTCTGAGCGCATACCTTACGGTATAGCAATACGGTCCATCCGGGACCTAACATTGGCGCCGTCTGTGGGAACTCGATAAATTTCGACTCCCATTCCACGATGACGAACACACGTTCGATGTCTAGTACCTCCCAAATACCGCCGCGTCAACCACAGTCTTAGCCTTATGGCATGCCTCAACACCAACCTGCATCGGAACAACCCCAATTGGAAGCAAACCCGGTGCTGGTTGAGGTACAGGTCGGCGAGGTCGGAACACAAGGACCGACTCCCAGACCCCAGCCGAATGCAACAATTGCTGCAGTTCGTCCGCCTCCACATAGTGAGCCACTAAACGTGACAAACATGGCCATGGGAGCAATCCTTCAAAGGTTGCAAGAGATGGAAAACAGATTCCTGACCCAGCAGCGTATGGATGCCCAAAGGATGGCAACATTGGAGGCCGAACTGAGGACCTTGAACGCGGAAGGCCAGACTAGGGGAGCCGGAGGGGTCGTAAACAACCGACCTCAGCAGCAACATTCCGAAGGCGTACATCAGAACGCCGAAGGCGCCCAGCATCAGAATGCTGCAGACCTCCAGCTTCAAAACGTTGGAGATCGACCTAGAAGGCCCGTCAATGCTGGCGATGGAGGACCGCGACAACAGAACGCGGCTACACTTGAAGGACACGGGCAGAATGGGCAGAACCTTAACCTCGGTAACAACCAGAATGGTGGTGGGCCGAACGACAACCAGGACGAAAATTATCTGGAGGATGAAGAGGCTAATGATAGCCCATTCACTGAGAGGCTCATGAACTTGGCCATACCGCCGAGATTCAAGAGCACCAGGATACCTCCATACGATGGAAGTCAGGACCCAGAAGCCCATTTAGAGGCTTTTAAAACCGAGATGTTATTCAACGGGATCACTAGACCTATTAAGGCCAGGATCTTTGCGACAACGCTGACTGGTCAAGCGATGACCTGGATAACCAGGCTCCCTAGGAACTCAATCGACTCGTTTGAGGACCCAGCTCGGACTTTCCGACTTAACTTTGCAACAAGCAAGGTGCATCCGATGCCAGCCTGTGCTTTAGGAAGAATCCGGCAGAAGGAGAACGAATCGCTGAGGAAGTACCTCGACTGATTCAAGGATGCCGCCCTCAAGGTACGAGGGTTAACTGAAGCAGTGCACCTCCACTTAATCATCTCGGGATTGGATGGCGATTCCCCATTGGCGAGATCCATCTATAAGAACCCGGTGAACGATCTGGAGGAGTTCAGGAGAAGGTCGGACAAATAGATTGACGTAGAGGACATGCAAAAGGTTTATGTCGAATCACGAGGACGAAGCCCTACACGTCGGAGCCCGAGTAGGAAAAACAACAAAGACCGGGACCAGAAGGGATCCAAAAAAGCAAATGACACTCGTGATAAAAGGTCGGAAGACCGATCACCAAGGAGGAGGTATGACGATTATACACCGCTGAACGTGTCCAGATCCAAGATATGGAAAGAGGTAGCACAGACCGAAATGCGCAATGTCGAGAGACCTCGACCCCTCAAAGCCAAGTTCGGATTAGATAGAAGCAAATACTGCGCATTCCACGACCAAAACGGTCACTTTACGGATGATTGCTGGGACCTCCGAGATGCAATTGAAAAGCATGTCAGGGAGGGAAAATTAAAGCAGTATATCATCCGAACACAGGGCAAGAAAAGTAATAAGCGCAAGCAAAGAAGCCGAAGCCGAAGTCGAAGCCCAAAGAGAGACGATCGAAAGGACCAAAGACAAGACCGACCTTCCAAAGGCAAAGAGGTCGATGAAAAGGACGAGGCTTTTCCTGAAGCCGAATTCGAATGCAACGTGATAAGTAGAGCTCTAGGTGGGGGAGGAGACTCGGCTAACGCCAGAAGAAGGTACCTAAAAGAGGTCATGTCGGTAAGAGACAGGCCGACATTCAAAGAAAAGGACAGCAAACCGGCTCCCCCGAGACTGTTCTTCACTCAGGAGGAACTAGCAATGGTTGTACCCGGACACACCGACGGATTGGTGATCACCGGAGTGCTAGTCAATTGCCGAGTGAAGAGAATCTTTATCGACCACGGAAGTTCAGCCGACATAATTCTCTGGGACGCTTTCCAGAGGATGAACCTCGACGAGAAGGACTTAAAACCATGTGTCACTGAGCTGGTCGGGTTCAATGGAGCGACGTCCCCTCCAAAAGGGTACATCGACCTAAAGTTGACCTTGTGCACGAAGGACTCGTTCCGATCTGGAAGGGTTCGTTTCGTTGTGGTGGACACCTCGTCTTCCTATAACGTAATCATTGGTCGGCCCACAATCCATGAATGAGATATGTTGATCTCCGCGAAACATCAAGCATTGAAAATGCCTGGGATGAACAACGAGATCGTCACTATAAGAGGTGATCAAGAAGAATCAAGAAAGTGCTACTACGAGACTCTACGAGTCCACCATGGAGGCCCATCATCTCCAACTCGGCTTAAAGAAGGAGGAACCAAGGACCAATCACTGAAGACATGCGGAAGAGAGGTCAACTTGGTTGAACTCAACGTAAGAGAGGAGCTCTTGGCACCTCGTCCAGAACCCCAAGGAGAGTTGGAGGATGCCGATATTGCGGAAAACGGCAAAAGACACACCAAGGTGGGAAAAGACCTAAAAACCGACTTCAAAGAGGAGCTGGTCTCTTTGTTAAAGGAAAACCGCGATATATTTGCTTGGAAAGCTTCAGAAATCCCTAGAATTGACCCAACCTTCTGCTGCCACAAGCTCTCCATGTACCCCGTTCACGGCCAGTATCCCAAAAGAAGAGGAAGATAGGGTCTGACTGACGTCATGCCTTGAATGAGCACGTCGACGAGCTGCTAGCAGCCGGATTCGTTAGGGAAATACAGTATACCACTTGGCTGTCTAACGTAGTGATGGTAAAAAAACCAAGCGGGAAATGGAGGATATGCGTGGACTACACCGACCTCAATAAGGTCTGCCCAAAAGACTCATACCCCATATCGAGCATTGACCAGCTAGTTGACAATTCGTCAGGATTTCAGCTACTATCGTTTATGGATGCGTATTCGGGGTACAACCAAATTCCACTACACCCCGACGACCACGAAAAAACCGCCTTCATCACTAAGAAGGGCAATTTTTGTTACAAAGTCATGCCTTTTGGCCTAAAAAATGCAGGGGCGACATATCAACGGATGATGAATCGCGTTTTTCAAGGGCAGATTGGAAGAAACCTAGAGGTATACATCGACGACATGATCGTCAAGTCGTTGCAAATATCAGGGCATATAAATGACCTCAGGGAAACTTTTGAGCAGTAAAGAGCTCACAGGATCAGGCTGAACCCAGCGAAATGCGCTTTTGGGGTACCAGCTGGAAAGTTCCTGGGCTTCATGCTTACCAACCGAGGTATAGAAGCGAACCCCGACAAGTGCAGGGCCGTGCTTGAAATGAAGCAGCCCGAAAGCAAGAAAGAAATTCAGCAGCTCACAGGATGTCTTGCGGCCCTGACCAGATTCTTGCCTAGATCGGCTAAAAAGGCTTTGCCTTTCTTAAAGCTCCTAAAAAAGGAAGCCGAATTCGGTTGGGGAGAGTAATGCAAAAACACATTCGAAAATATTAAGAACTGCCTGGCCACTCATCCTGTACTGTCCAAACCAGAGCCCGGAGAAATGCTGATCTTGTACTTATCAGTTGGGGAAGAGGCCGTCAGTGCCGCCCTGGTACGGGAGACTGACAAATCACAGCAGCCAATCTACTTTGTAGGTCGAACCTTGCAAGGTCCTGAGCTTCGTTATCAGAAGCTCGAGAAAGTCGCATTCGCACTGCTTACCACGGCAAGGAGGCTCCGACCTTACTTCCAGAGTCACCGAGTTATTGTGCGAACGAATCAGCCCATCAGGAAAGTCCTCCACAAGCCGGACCTCGCTGGCAGAATGATAAACTGGGCAATCGAACTCTCTGAGTTCGACATTGCGTATGAGCCCAGACAGGCGATAAAGTCCCAAGCGCTGGCCGACTTCATCTTGGAGCTAACCTCATCCAATGAAAAGGGAAAAGGGAACGAAGATCTCTAGACAATACACGTAGATGGATCGTCCAACTCCAAGGGGAGCGGAGCCGGGGTGATCATTGAGACCCCGGAAGGAGTGTCCATTGAGCATTCACTTCACCTGGTCTTCCTGTAACACCCCTTATATATCCGGTAATGTTATCATAATATCGTATTAAGTTGCGCTTAATTAAAAATGCGGAATTACTTTTTCTTTTCAATTATGATGCCATTAACAATACCAACTTACTTAATAATCAATTAATAAAACATCGCCTGTATGTAATTGCAATAAAACAGCTAACTGAAATACCACATAACATAGATAATAAAAGTGTGGCTCTAGTCACGGAACTACAACAATGCAGACCGGACCATCTAACAGTTTATACAACTCCAAACTACAAGTATAACAGAAAGTGTCATGGACAATCCCCATGCTCACTCAAATAAGGCAACATGCCCAACATCAGTCTCAACAACAACATATCATAAATAGCGGAAAACATAAACAGCATCCAAATCCAGTCATGCTAACATATAAGCAGAAACAACATAATCAACTAAGCTCCGGCCTCCTGCCGCCTGAGGCATCAGTACTCATACTACCTGATCCTGAAATAAGCATTCCCCAAACGTGGGGTAAGATCTCTAATCTAGAAATCTCAGTAAGTCAGTGAGTCCTCAAGGATCTTCCCCCCCAAGCTCACTTACATGTGCAATATAAGTTCAAAAGCAGTTTATCATTTATCATTTCTAAAACAATGCAATGCAGCAGATAATCATGTCATGTGTGTCAATACTAATCTACTGGCCAGAGACAGTGCAGGTATACGTCTATCACCTACACACCGTGCAAGTACCACTTGCATTCACCCCGGTACACCATCTTGTATGGCGCTACATACTCAGGCTTCCCGTCAAGATGAAACAACACATGCATATTAAAAGCCATTACATGTAAAGTTCAATCGACATATCAAATATCCAAAAGCATGTACACAGCATGCATAAACCATACCCCCATGGGACATGGTGGAACCACAACATGGCTAAACCGAGGACACGAAAGCTTACCTTGCAAGCTAACTCCAAAAGCCAAGAGTCCACAGCTCAAAGTCCAAACACAGCAGATTCACAATCTGTTATGGACCAACAATACATCAACAACATGCACCACAAGCATACAATATTAAGACAACGCCTTTTCATTACGTTTTCAAGTCTTGAAGCTTCTAACAAAGCCACAAGCCCTTAATCCCATGATTCTGGCTTAATCCATTAAATACAGAAGTTCAACTTCATCAAACTAGGGTCCACAAACCCCCAATAGCCTACTGTACACACAGCACAACTGCTGTTCTGCGAAATCCCAGAATATCCGGATATCTCACTGTCCATATCCGGATATGCATATCCGGATATACAGATTCACATATCCGGATATCCAATATCCGGATATCCCAAAACCACGTATCCGGATATCCAATATCCGGATATCAGTTCGACAGATATCCGGATATCTCACGACAGAATGCAGTTTCTGCATTTTCGTGAAGATATCCTTCAAAGGTTCCCTTTTTACCGATTTTAAACACCTAATCATGCATTTCTAGATGTGTTAAGCCTCTCCCAACAACAAGTTATCATCTTTTAACCTTAACATGCATCAAGCTACCATTTTTAAGCATTAAACTCATGATTAAAGGTTGAAGATCATACCACAAGCTTAAACTCAGCAAGATTGACCCAAAGAGCTCACCAACAACCCTTCCAAGTACTGTTTCTACAGGTACACGAAAATGGACCAACAAGATGAGTCCTTTCCTCACCAAGGAAGCTACTTGGAGCTCAAAACCACCAAGAACAAGATGACTCCCCTCCAAACTCTCCAACTCAGAGCAAGAACCTCACAAACAACAACTCATAAACTCAGGAAGATGACTCTTTTCTGCTCACAAGACTCACACCCTCAAGCCCAAGTGTTTAGGAAGAGGTAACATGGAGGTAGAAGGTCACAAGGCTCACACAAGGGAAGAGAGCACCAACACAGAGTAAAACTGATCAGCCACCACAAGACACTCACGCATAGAGGCAGTTTTCTAGGGTTGTGTGCCCTTAAAAGGGTATTTATAGCCCAAGCCACTTAAACTCACAGTTTTAACTTTAATTGCTACGCTTAGCATTTTAATCCCAAACTTTGGATTCTGAAACTACATAATTTTCTAAGACTTATCATATTTTTCTTATAATTTTCTGAGCACTTTTCCAGTACGCGCTTTTCCAAGCCAGTACCGATTTCCAGCACCAGTTCTCACTATCTGGACTTGAAACTAGTTTTACAAGTCCTACATATTATTCTAGAAATTATCATGCACTTACATTAATTTTCCGGGATACTTTTTCGGCACGCATTTATACCGACTAGCAGAACCGGTATCTGCACTTTTCTTCCGAAAAGCGACTTTCAGCATTCTTAATCACTTATTACGATTATTAAGCCTCATAAATAATTATTAGGGTCAATTATGGAATCATTTCCTAATTTTGCATAATTAATTAATTAAATACCTTAATTAACGGTGCGGGTTCTTACACTTCCCGACTTCTAATAACCAAGCTGAATACGGGGCATTTATTGCCGGGATCATGCAAGCAAAAGAGCATGGGGCCAGAAAAATAAAAATTATGAGTGATTCGCAGCTGGTTACCTCACAAGTTGAGGGAAATATCAAGCCAAGGGTCCTCTCATGATGATGTACCTCCACCAGGTTAAGGAGCTGCTAGCCGAGTTTGACGAGGTGATAATCCAATACATACCTCGGAACGAGAATAATAGGGCTGACCTCTGATCCAAACTGGCCAGCTCAAAGGGCCCAGGAAATCATCGCACCGTGATACAACAAAGCATCTTGGAGCCGACGTGTGTGATAGTGATAACCGAGACTGAGGATTGGAGAAGGCCCATAGTGGCCTACCTGGAAAAAGGAATCCTGCCAGACGAAACGCAAGAGGCCAGAAAACTCGTGAGGAATTCAGCCTGTTTCACCATAATAGAGGGGCAACTCTACAAAAAGGGTTTCTACACACCCATGCTGAAGTGCCTAGGCAAGAATGAGGTTGAATACGTGCTGGCCGAGATTCATGAGGGCATAAACGGGCATCACATGGGAGGAAAAGCCCTGGCCAGAAAGGCACTTTTCCGGTACGCGCTTTTCCAAGCCAGTACCGGTTTCCAGCACCAGTTCTCATTATCTGGACTTGAAACTCG